TTTAGTAACCCATTACCCCACTAGGGAGCGGAAATATAGCGGTGATTGCTTTGAAATTTTCCTGAGGATCCAGGTATTGTCAAGGGTAACGCCTATAATTTTCGCTGATAATCAGATAATAATTTGAATTGAATTGAATCAAAAATTTATTTTTTTTAATTCGATCTATAGGCCAGAATTGAAAGCCGAACACCTCTAGTCGGTCAAGAGGGTGCAACTATCATGAAATATTGCCCAGGTTCGGAATAAAAATCCGCAGATTGTTAGAATTCCGTGGTAGTTGTGTAGGTTATCTGGTCGCTCTAGAGGTCACAATTATGACCAGATTGTCAAAATATTTTACACAGAGAAAGGAATCTGACCAAGGAATCAACATGACACTTTTCATGAGAACCGGTCACTGACTTCTACAAAAAATGGCAAAATTTGTATTCTATGGGGTATATATTTACTCCTGAAGTCTATAGACCCGAGAGGTTCATAATAAATACATGAGGAATTTAAATGAGGTTCCAGTTATAGTGGGTCTAGGTCAACATTTTGTTGCGTTACAAGCTCTTGAGACCATACAAGCTTATTTTTCGGAGACCTCGTAAATTATTTTTGATTAGAATATTTTATTCAGAGTTAACAATACGTAAAGCAAAGCTTTGAACTTTTGTACATATGTTCTGAAAATCAATACATTTTTTATTATTATTTTTTTTTAAATTGAAACACGAAATTTCTGTCAATGATAACAATTCGAAAGACCATACAAGATTATTTTTCTGAGACCTCATAAATTATTCTTGATTAGAATATTTTATTTCGAGTTAACAATATGTAAGACTTTAAACTTTTGTACATATGTCCTGAAAATCGGATATCTCGGTCTCTGTCTTGGTATAACCTCAAAATAAAATTACTGTCCCGATTTTGGTATTTTAAATAATTTGACCGCATTTTCCAAATGTAATTAAGCACATGGGTTTCAAAGAGTTTAAAGAACATATTTCCAGAAATTGTCCAATATGGGTTCTAGTCCCCATATAATGGTCCTACCATTTGTTGGGTATTTTGATGAGGCCCAGTTGTTGTTAAAAAAACGTCTTCGCTGAATATTTTCTATTCAGCTCAATTTTTCTGCCTAGTTTCGGTATATGGAAGATCCGAGCCGAATTTTCCAATCTGAGAATCTGTAATTCTGTATTACAGAGTCCGGAGGCATTCCTGATATACGATATTTTGATCTTTAATATATAGATTTTATGTTGCCCATATTTTTGAACATATTCCGGCTCTGAAGACCAAAAGCTAAATAATTTTTTTTTCTGTCAGGTTTTTCACGTTTGAATAGCTTAACATGCTGATATTAAAATAAATTTTTCATAGAACGATTTTAAAGTTATTTTATTTTTCAATTACTAAAACACGAACTCATTGTCGACACTCACTGTACATATGGGGGGTATATCAAGAAAATTTAGTTATTATTTGGTTTATTCCACTATATTTTGTTTTGTGTGCATGGTATTTTTTTATAATAAATGGTGATTACTTTCAGTTTTCACAACCATTGTATTTCTTGACAACTACAACAACAGCAACAACAAAAATAACAACATAAAAAAACACATAATAACCTCAATTAAATTACATTTAATTTTACAAAATAAGCCAACATGAAATTGCTGTATCGATGTACGAGTGAATGCTGGTTAAGTTAAGGTAGGCGAAGCTAATTGTCAGGCAGTCAACCAACCAACCAGTTGACTGCTTGTTTTGCTTTGCCAAAACGTCGAAGAAAAAATAAAATTCAAAAAATCCCAATACCATATAAAGAAAACTATTGCGAAATTTACTTTATTTTCTTCTTCTCCTCGTTTTGCGGATTTTTTTCGGTTTGGTTTGACAAAATAAGCCTGTGTTCGCAAAAAAATAAATAAAAGTATGACCAGTTTGCCGTAGACTTCGAGAAATAAAACAAAATTATATGGTGGGTAATTTTTCTTTCGTTTTTGCTAATGATGATATAAGCACTCGTTTGGAGCTCCGTTAAACCGGTTCCAGTTCAATTTTTGTTTCGTTTTATTTCTTGTCTTTAATTTTTTTTTTGTTATTTCACACTGTTCAATTGCAAAAAATAATAGCAAATTTGGATGCACAAAATAGAGAGGAGGCAGATAGACGACGACAAAGTCACACGAACACACTTAAAAATATTCAATACATTTTTTTATTTATTTTTTTAAGTGAAACACGAAATTTCTGTCAATGATAACAATTCGAAAATTTGTTGCTTGTTTTTTTAACTTTTTGTTTCTGTTTTCACACTTGACGATTACACAAATAGCAATAAAAACAAATGGCAGCAGCTAAAAAACTATAAATTATTGTTGCTTCTTAAAAACAAAAAAATTACTACCAGAGGTTTTTAATGCGAACCTTTTTTTCTTTCTTTCTCGACTGACGTTTGTATTTCAAAATTTAACCGCTCCAAATATTCGAACTCGTCGACTAACCGTGTCTAACTGATACTCAGTGGTCGATCGCAGTCTGTGGTAAGCTCTGTTTTTTTAGCACCAACCAGCCAGCCATACGAACGAACCTTAATACCAACAGTTCCAACCAAAACGAGTCATTGAAAGCGAATCGGGAATTAGTCGAGACAAGCTTTACTCAGAGTTTGATATTTGATTTTCTCTCAGTGATCTTTGGTATAGTTTTTTTCTTGCTCTCTTGTAGGTCTCTATTTTTTTGTCAAACAAAAAACTTAACCCATGTTTGACATGGTTTATTATTTATCGACAAACGATTGGCATATGACCTAGATTTATGCGCGTAATACGCAACGAACTTTGAATAGGCACACTGTTTGTTTAATATAAAAAAAAACAATCAAATGTTAACCGCTAAGCAGTAGAGAGGAGTTTGACTAATTGGAATTTGAAGTCTTGAAAATCGAACATCAAACTCATAGAGAGGTGTTTGAGAAATCGTAATTTGAAGATTTAAAAAATCGAAAAATCTCAAGATTTTTAACAACAAATATTCAAGAGCTAACAGGGCCACAAAAGATTGGATATTTAAAGGTATTCCGGGTTCTTGAGTCGTGAAAAGCACCATTGTAAATTTACAATCTGCCTGTAAATTTACAATCTCGAAATAAAAACACTGGCAGGCATCTTACAATGAAGGTGCAATGACTAAAAGGACCACAAATGCGGATTTTTAGAGAATATTTTAAGATTATCAGGGCGATAACCGTAGATTTTTTAAATAATAATTTTCGCAAGAAATTTCAGGACCATAAGCGTGGATTTTGAGGGAATTTTTTATCAAGCATGGAGTTTTAAGGAATATTTTCAAAGATTATCAGGAACATAAGCGTGGATTTTTAATAATATTTTTCAAAGGACTATCAGCACTATAGATGTGGGTATTTTAAAAATATTTTCCCAAAGATTATCAGGACTAAAAGCGTGGATTTATACAGTAATATTATTTCAAAGACTATCAGGATCATACGCATTGATTTTTTATATAATATTTTTCCCAGGATTATAAGCGTGGAATTTTTAAAGAATATTTTTCCAAGGACTATCAGGACTATAAGCATGGATTTTTTAAAAAATATTTTTCCAAGGACTTTCAGGACATTAAGCCTGGATTTTTTAAAGAATATTTTTCCAATGGCTTAAGCATGGTTTTTTAAAGAATATTTTTCAAAGGACTATCAGGACAATTAGCGTGTTTTTTTTAAGAAATATTTTTTTGAAGGACTATCAGGACTATAAGCGTGGATTTTTTAAAGAATATTTTTCCAAGGACTATCAGGACTATAAGCGCGGATTTTTTTTAAAAATATTTTTCCAAATACTATCAGGACTCTGAGCGTGGATTTTTTAAAGAATATTTTTCCAAGGACTATCAGGACTATAAGCGTGGATTTTTTAAAGAATATTTTTCCAAGGACTATCAGGACTATAAGCGTGGATTTTTTAAAGAATATTTTTCCAAGGACTATCAGGACTATAAGCGTGGATTTTTTAAAGAATATTTTTCCAAGGACTACCAGGACTATACGTGTGGAGAATGTGTGGAATATTTCCAAGGGTTGTCAGGACATTAAGGGTGGATTTGTTACTCAATATTTCATAGGGCTGACGTTAAGCCTTTTTTATTATATTTTTCCAAGGGCTATCAGGACATTAAGAGTGGATTTATGGAAGTATATTTTTCAAGGACTATCAGGATATTCAGCGTTAATTTGTTAATGAATATTTTTCAAGGATTGTCAGGACATAAGGCTTGGTTTTTTGATTATATTTTTTCGAAGGGTATCAGGACATTAAGTGTGGATTTTTTAAAGAATATTTTTCCAAGGATTATCATGGCTATAAGAATGGACATTTAAATCATATTTTCATAGGACTATAAGCCTGGATTTTTTGAAGAATATTTGGTCTACCAGGGTTATTAGCAAGGGTTTTTTAAGAATAGTTTTTCATGGGATTTTTAATAATAATTTTCCAAAGACTATGTGAACGCGAATTTTATTGAAGATTCTTCCAAGGACTATCAATGTAGTTTTTTAAAAGAACATTTTTTGGGCTATCAGAGCAATTAATGGGAATTTTATATAAAAATAATTTGTTTATATCAGATCGAATTGTTAATGAATTATTTCCAAGGGCTATTAGATTAAAAACATATGTTTTCGTGGACTATCAGGGTTTTAAAGAATATTTTACCAGTGTTTTCACTATTTTCTAAAAGACTTTTCCGGTTTCCCTCAACAAATGTACCCCCCCGAAATCTCAAATAAAAAAAATGTTTTTAATTTCATTGTAAATAAATATATATATTGTATTTTTTAATCATTTTTCTTATAAATAGTTATTATTTTAATATCACAGATTTTTTCTTAAAATTAAAGGTTTTCATTTTACAATGGAAGACACAAATTGCCAATTTCTTCTTTTGCTCATTTTAAGCCGAAGTCCAAAAGAAAGTACCCTGTTCAGTGCGTACAAAGTGAACGGGAACATAGGTTTCTTCTTCTGCAGCCAAAAGACATTCATTGATGTCATTTTCAAAGGATTCCATTGAATCGCAATCCGATTCAAGTTCGGTATTGCGTTTATTTTCCAAGGATTCAAGAGATTCCATAGAATTGCCGGAAACTTTGTGGGATTTTTGTTGTTTGAAGATTTGTTTCAAAAGCTTTTTCATGCCGCTGGAGCTTTTCTTCTGGGAGATGATGATATCCATTTTGTTGTTGTTGTATTGTTGAGCTGGTGTAATTTCTACGCACATTTTAAATGTTTGAGGTGTAAAGGAATGTTGTGAAGTGTTGAATTGCTCAAATGAGAATGATGCTGAAATTTCACAACTTCTGGCCTTTTATACTCTCAGTTCCTCGATATCCTAGTTGTGCAAAACTGAACATGCAGGTATTTGTAAAACTACCAGTTACAGACTAAAACAATAGCCTGTGTCTGTGATCCTTTGTTTGATTTTCCTTTCGACTCGTGGGAACGTCTAGTGACATAAATGTTTTGTGTCTAGGATTCCATCAGTAAAATCGATGATCCTCTTTTCTTGTTGTTTTTGCATCTTTAGTTTGTATGCCATGCACGTGCATGTTTCTTAGGTTCTTAGGCAGACAGACACTTTTCAAATAAAATTAAAAGTGCAACATCATTTCAAACTGTTTCCCACGCCTTGGAAAGTGTGTGTCAATTAGACACGTCGCGTATTGTTGTATCATTTTCAATACACTGAAGTGAAGGCTATGTATCGGTAATAATTTGTGAATAAGAATTGTATTCCTTGTTTAATAGTAATTGGTTGCCCAAAAAAGTGTGCTGTGGAAGTGTGGTAGGAGTACGTCTAGAAAGCGTGGTAAAGCATGCGTCCAACGTGAGCCTACAAGAGTCAATGAAATTTGTAAGAACACAAATAAATTGATCATCTTTTGGGGCGCTTATGATTTATAGAATATACCAAGATTGTCTAAACATTTTTTTGTGGAATAAAGGAGGATGTCACACAACACCTCTGAAAACCTGTTTTTTCTTCACATAAAACTCAAACACAAGAATATAATATATGGAAAAATATTTAACATTTTAAAAAAAAAGCTCCAGCGGAATCAAAATCAAAAAGGAATTTTAAAAATTATTTGTTGATCCACTTTGTACGCACCGAACAGGGTACATTCTTTTGGACCTCGGCAGTTTAAGAAAGAAAAGAAATTTGTTTCATAAGAAATCAGTTCTTTGCGTCCTCCAATGTAAAATGAAATTTGTTTAATTTTGAGTAAAGTTAAAAAATGTAATATTTAAATAATGACTATTTATAAGCAAAATTATTAAAAATATACAAAAAATATATTTATTTACAATAAAAATAAAAATATTTACTATATGGAAAATATTCTTTAAAAATCTTCAATATGAGACAAAATTCCATAAATTCAACGCCCTGATAGTCCTTGGACAAATATTTGACATTAAAAAAATGAACTTCAGCTGAATCATCATCAAAAAGGAATTAAACATTATTTTTGATTCTTTGGTCAGCTACGTACATTGCTTTGTTACAAGAGATATTTGGGCATGAAAGGTTCTTTGTAAAGAATCAATAAATAGCTTCTGGGTAGAATATCCTTAAAAAACTATAAACTGATGAAAAACACTTTCTGGTAGTCCTTGGAAATATACTCTTTAAAAAATCCAAGCTTAATCAAAGTTTATAGTCCTTAATATCATATTCATTAAAAAATCTACGCTTAATGTCCTGATAGTCCTTGGAAAATATTCTTTAAAAAATCACATTCAGCAGTCCTTGGAAATCCAAGCTTAATGTCCAGATATCCCTTTGGAAAAATATTCTTTTCAAATCAAAGCTTATAGTCCTGATAGCACTTGATAACATATTCATTAAAAAATTAATTAAGGAAAATATTCTTTAAAAGTCCAAGTTTATAGTCCATGGATAAATATTTTTTAAAAAATCTGAGCTATTGGTCCTTGGAAACACCAGAGGACACAGATAAGCCCTATTAGGAAGCGAAGATGTTATTCTATCTACCACAAATGTGATGCAGATTCCCTTACATCCTTTTCACAGAAAAAGAAAGACTACGGATATTCATGTCAAAGGATATTCATGTCAGACGCCTGTCGGACATAGATGGTTTTGTGGAGCGGTCTTTCGGTCGGCAAGGATCAGATAAAAGTGGAAATGAGGGACATTTCTAAAATTTTATGAGCGACAATTCTGTAAAATTTTGGAAGTCAACAAATTTTGTCATGTGGTATTTAGTTTATGGTTCAATAAAGTGAGGACGAAAATAACCACAAGGACACAAGATAGAAAGAGGACATGTTTTACAAAAATATTCCTCATTCGATTTTACTGAAGACATGTCATCCCAAAAATAACCTGCAATAGCCCCATATAAAGATATAAGGGTTTTTGTAGTTTTGACTTTTTCCTGTAACTCCACTTGGGAGCACCGCCATCGTACTCGGGTAGTTGCCCTTGTTTTGCATCTCTCCATGAAAATTTATTTTGTCTTAGTTCATAGATCATTGTTCGTCCCCTGGCGTTTCTTTGTGGACCTCGATTTCTTGAGTCTTGGCGATTCCATTCAAGTTATGCTATAGACATACTTTTCTTAAGGTGTGGTCAATCTGCTTCCACAGCTCTATGTTATTTATGGGCCAGAGTATTCTACATATAATCCGTTGCATCTTTTTATGAATACATGTAGCTTTTGCCTGATGGTGTTTGACACAAGCCAGGTTTCACTGCCGTATAGCAGATTCGATTTTGTAAATGCTTAGAATATTTTATGTTTGGTTTTCCTGGATATATGGAGCTTCTCCATACACCTAACAATCGAACAAATGCTGCTCTCATTTTTGTTAACCATTGTTGTTACAGTGCACTTGCCCAGGCATTCTTCACAACAATTAAAATAAAAAATCCCATTAGAATAACTTATTTATACCCATATTATACTGTAGGACTCTGTAAATGCCAAAGCTCATGCCACGAACGTGTTGGCCCACATTCCATATCCTCATGCTAGGCTCATGCTTATCACGCATTATAACTAAATACCAATTCTATCACTAAACACTATCAATTAAAAAACCGTACCCACAACTTGTTTCAATCATCAACGGTTTTGAAGAAACCCAAATATTTATTCCAATTCAATGTGACAGTATGTTTTCCCACAACCCTGGGAGAGCATCACCTTATCCTCATTCGGGAAAAACAATAACAACAATCATTGGCATGCCTCTATAATGCGTGGGAAACATTTCGAAACCAAGTAAAATTTTATTTCATTCTATTGGAATTTGCCTGTCTCAGGACACACTTATCCTTTTTTCTAAGACCATACAACAACAAAATCATAAATCTAAAATTACATAGAACAGATGCCTTTTGTTATCATACATTTGAAAATTTTAGTTTCCTTCGAGCATTCCCACGCTCAGAAGGAAACTAACTGAAAATCCTTTGGACAGACAGATTTACACAGGCTATTGTCTAAGAGTGCTGGTATTTTTACAAAGACCTGCTTGTTCTTACTCTCTGCGATTCTCATGCCCGAGAGTATAAAAACCGATGACTCTCGAGGATTCAACATCATACTCTTTTGAGCATTCAAACATTACACATCCTTCCAACACAACAAACATTCAAAATGTGCGTAGAAATCACACAAACTCAACAATTCAACAACAACAAAATGGATATCTCCAACAAGAAATCGTATAGCGTGAAGAAGCTGTTGAAACAAATCTTCAAACAACAAAAATCCACCAAACGTACTGCGGAATCATTGGAGAATGACCGTAATGCCTGCTTAGAATCGGAATCCTTTGAAAATGACATCAACGAAAAAATTTCAGCCAAGCAAGCCTTTGATGATGAATTCGACTACCCCACTGCCATCACCTCAGTACCAGTTCACTTCATTCGCACCGATCAGGGTACCTTCTTCTGGACTACCACCAGTGCCTTTGAACAGTTGTCCTGCCAGCAAGATCGTTGGGCCCAAGCCTAAGAAACAAATTGGCTTTGAACGAGAACTCATCAATCCATGTCTTCCATTGGCAAACAAATTGAAAAATATTCTAAATATTTTACAACTACAGTACACTTTAAAAAAGCTTTAAAAAATTGTGATATTTTTAATAGAAATTAAGAAAAAATTAAAACTTTTTATAAAAAAGAAAATATAAAAATATTTTAAAACGAAAATTATATTGTCTTCTTTCAATTGATACAAATCGGGGTCTAATGGGACATTATAATTCTATTGATTCACTCTGGGGTTTAAAAGCATTAGCATTATAGCTAAGGAAAATAACTTTCAAAAGCATATAACGTAACGGCTTAAAAAATGATTGAAATATCATTTTCAGACCATTAGAGAAACTTATATTTAAATATAGTCCGTCTTTTCTACTAAACCTGAATCATAAAAATCCCTATGCCTAAATCTCTAACATTCCTTGAAAAATATTCTTCAAAACCCCTCTTTTTAATAATATGCATACAAAGTCCTCAATAATGGATCAAATAGTCTTTGAAAAAAAATACTTTTAAAATACTATGATTGTGGCTCTCTGAACCTGTTTTTAAAAATATTCTTATATACTCACATTTATTACTCTTATAGCCATTAAAAATATTTTTTTTTTTTTAAATCCACACATATGGCACTGAGAATTTAAAAAACAATTAACCATCTCTAAAATCCACAAATATGGCAAACATACCTTCAAAAAAACCCATATGCGTATATCGAAAATCCTTAAAAATATATTTTATGAAAACTCACACTTATTCCACAATAGTCCTTGAGTAAAATATTTTTCAAAAGCCCATCATTATTGACAGCTTTGCAAAATAGCATAATAGCCTTTCAAAAATAATTTAAAAATTCATAGTTTTTGGGTTCCAATTGAAATTGAAAAAAAAATCCTTTAAAAATCTAGACTTATGACTCGGACAGTACTTATAATAAAATATTATTTAAAAATGCAAGTGTAAGGATCTAGTAAACCTTCGAAAGGTATTATTCCGCCTGTGTCTAAAACTTAGTGCTAAAGAAAATACTTTAAAAAATCGAATATTATGCCTCTGACAGCCCATGAAAAAATTAAAAAAATCCATCATTTGGAATCCATATTTTGGAATTTTCGGAACGATTTTGAGCCTTCATAAAATATTTGAGATAGCAGAAAAAATTGTCATAGTGCCACCTATCGTTGCCTGAAAAAATTGTTTTGTAGTTGGTTGCAATCTGAGTGTTGCCCCATGGTTGTAATTTTTGATCGCTCCAATCAATATAACTGATGTAGTTGCTGCTAATATATTTAAGTTCGAGATATCCTATATAGACCTTATTTTATGGAATACGTTTATGTTTCTACTGCAAATCATCGATTTCCCTACTTCTATCGGCTCGTTTAAATTATAATATTTAGTCTGCAATCAGGGCTGCCATATTTGCCGATTTATCGGCATTTTGACGATTTTTCACTCTAAAAATGGAAAATGCCGATTTTCCGATTTTTGCCCCAGAATTGCCGATATTTCAACAATCGACACAAATTGTCTAACTTTTTAATCATTATAACTATCGGCGACACGCCGCAGCCGTTTTCAATGGCTTAGATATCTGTATTTTTTGTCAGCATTGTACTCTGTCTAGTTTACATTTTACATCATGGGCACGAACAATTTTTTAGAATATAATGAAGTATATTTGGGTTTATATGCAAAAGATATTGTTTCAGAAACAAAACTTCCCAAAAATGACATAGACAAAATAGTTAGCACTTGCAGTAATTTTCATATAGAACTTGAAAACCGATTTTATTTTTGAAACTGAGAGGCAATCTTTAGACTCCGAGTTTAGGGAGTTAAACTTTCTGAATTTTTAAGAAATTTTTAAAAATGCAGAATATAATTTAAAAAGTTTTTGAAAAAAAAATTCCGAAATTAAATGTGGGGACTCCAATTTAGCTTTTCCAGTTTTGTCTAAATTTGTACAAAGAATTATGGTTCTTCCACACTCCACAGCAAATGTGGAACGAATTTTTAGTCAGGTAAACATTAACAAAACTAAAATTAGAAGCTCACTTGAGAATGATTCATTGGAAGGGATTCTTTATTCTAAAGATTACCTCAAACTAAATAATTCAAATTGTTTTAATATCAAAATTGATAATGAATTACTAAAAATGTGTAATAAAAATATGTAATAGTTTGTAAGTTATTTTTATGACCTTAATATCACACTGTGTTATACGTAAATCTGAAAGATCTCACTATTGTACATAATAATTACTATATTTTAGAAAAATCTAAATTTTTTGTAGAAAAATGAATCTTTTATGTTATTTTTTTATACAGAATTATTAATGTAATAAACAATATTGATTTGTTATAAACCAAAAATATGAATTTATTTATAAATTATATGCTGCCGATTTTTTCCCGATTTGTAAAAATACAAATGCCGATTATGCCGATTTTTTTCTGAAAAATTTACGATTTTTCATGAAATTTAACTGGCAGCACTGTCTGCAATGGCGAGGTCCTCATTTATTTTAAGTGTTGCCATTTTCGCAGTTTAAAAAAAGGTGGCAATTCGGATTCCCATGCGATCCTTTGTTTGGTTCTTGTCATTGCTAGTGGAATGTACAGGTTTGTAAGAGTAATCTGGTTCTATATTATTGTAGGTATGCTGAAAAATGTTCTTTAAAAATTATGGAAAAACTGAAAGCAAATTTCAGAACAAATTTTGTAATCAAGTCAAGTGCCATTACACACTTTGAAGGTAATGGGATGTCCAGTAATTTCGTTTCAAATTTGATTTTAAATGAATTTCTTTTATCCATATAATAAACTCAAAATCATTCATTGCAATTCACGAGTCTTTAAACTTCTCCCACTAAATAAAAAAAACACAAATTTTAATTTTGTTTTCATTTTTAAAAATATTATATATTTTTTTTTGTTTAAAATATTATTATTTCTTAATTCTAAATATAAAATATCACAGTTTGAAGTTAAAGCTTTTAGATTGATTTCTAATGGAAGACATGGATTGATGAGTTATCGTTCTAAGCCAATTGGTTTTTTAGGCTTGGGCCCAACGATCTTGCTGGCAGGATAATTGTTCCAAAGCACTGGTGGTAGTCCAGAAGAAGGTACCCTGATCGGTTCGAATGAAGTGAACTGGTACTGAGGTGATGGCAGTAGGGTAGTCACAATCATCATCAAAGGATTGCATGGCTGAGAGTTTTTCGTTGATGTCGTTTTCAAAGGATTCCGATTCTAGACTGGCATTGCGGTCATTCTCCAATGATTCCATAGATTCTGCAGCAACTTTTTGGGATTTTTGTTGTTTGAATATTTGTTTCAACAGCTTATTCACGCTATACGATTTCTTGTTGGAGATATCCATTTTGTTTTGTGTGATTTCTACGCACATTTTGAATGTTTGTTGTGTTGGAAGGATGTGTAATGTTTGAATGCTCAAAAGAGTATGATGTTGAATCCTTGAGAGTCCTCGGCTTTTATACTCTCGGGCATGAGAATCGCATCAGATAAGAAGAAGCAGGTCTTTGTAAATATACCAGCAGTCATAGGCCTATGGCCTGTGTAAATCTGTCTGTCCAAAGGATTTTCAGTTAGTTTCCTTGTGAGCGTGGGAATGCTTGAAGAAAACTAAAATTTTCAAATGCACGACAAGAAAAGGCATCTGTTCTGTGTTATTTAAGACTGAAGATTTTGTTGTTGTGTGTTCTTTGTGAAAAAGGATAAGTGTGTCCTGGCACACACAAAATTCCTATAGAATATCATGTATTTCATTTGGTTGTGAAATGTTTCCCACGCATTGCAGAGGCATGCCAATGATCGTTGATATTTTTTCTTTTGCTATTAGGATAAGGTGAGTGTTTCCCATGATTGTGGAAAACATGCTGTCACATTCAATTGGAAGGATGATGTTGGTTGGTTTGTTTTTGAGCCATTGATGATTATAACAAGTTAAGGTTTCCTATTTGATAGTGTTCGATTATGAAATGGCGGTTTGGTTATAATGCGTGCTAAGCATGAGCCTAGCATGAGGACATGGGAAGCGCATGGTCAACACGTACTAAGCACAAAATTTTGACGTTATAAGCATTTAATGCAAATTTTGATAAGTGGCCCAATGAAGATATAGCCTTTTAGAGGACTAGCTGACAAATACGTATGGAATCCTTAGTCAAATTTTTAAGGAAAAAAATTCATGGTCTTTTGAGCTATGAGTATGAAATATTTTTCTTAGGATTTTATGATTAAGTGTAACTATCATAATTTGAATTGAATTTTAAATGACTGTATACATGGTAGGGCATAAGCGGTATAATGTGGATTTTGTATGTGATGAGTTTTTAAATAATATTTTTCATATGCTTGGACAACTATTTGAGGTATAGCAGTGCCATACGCATGCATTTTTAACAAGTACTTTTGAAGGGGTTTCAATGTCATAAGCATTGATTTAAAAGTAAATTTTCAAAGGGCTATCAGTGTCGTAAGTTGGATTTTTAAAGAATATTATTGAATTAACAACAGGAGACCGTTCAGAGGTCTTCTATATACTGAAGATCTTCTACATGTTCTCTATAGACAGTATACTATAGACAGAAGATCTTCCATAAGAATTCTATACAGTATACCTTCCACAGGTGTTATATAGACCCCGGTTTCCCCTCAGGACTTCTATAGATTGATTCTCTTCTATTCTACAGACAGAAGACCTTTCACAGGTCGTCTATACACAGAAAACTTTCCACAGGTCTACTATAGACAGACGACCTTCCACAGTCAGAATACCTCTCCCATTCCTTATTGGAAGATAATTTTGAAAGGTAATTTTGGATGGAAGATAATTTCCACAGTTTTTCAATAAACAGAAGACCTCCTGCAGAAGTTGTCATGGGGTTTTTTTTAAGAACAATTTAGAAGGAATATCAGTGCTTTAAACGCTTATTTTTAAATAATATTATGGAATTAACAGTTCTTATATAGAAGATCCTCCACATGTCTTACACCGACAGAATACCTTACACAGGGGTTCTAATGTCAGAAGACCATTCACAAGTCTTGTGAAGACAGTATACTTTCCATAATTATTTTATAAACAGATGATCTTCAGTGAACAGAAGACTTTCCACAGGTCATTTATATAGGCTCAGAAATTTCCACAAGACTTATATGAAAAGAAGACCTTCCACAGCTATTCTATAGTAAGAAGACTCTGCCGGTTTTCACATGGATTTTTCAAGGATATTTATGGAAGGTTATAAGTGTCGTATGTCTGGATTTAAAAAAAAAATATATGTTCAGCCAGTGAAGCTGCTTTTTTAAGAATAAATTTGAAGAACTATAGTGTTGATATTTTAAAGAATATTATGGAATTAAAAACAAGAGACCTTCCACAGGATTTCTTAGTCAGAGGATCTTCCACAGTTTTTTATATGTAGAATATCCTTCACATGTTTTATACAGACAGGGGTTATAATGACAAACAACATTTCACAAATCTCCTGTAGGCAGAAGATTTTCCATAACTTCTTTATACACAGAAGATCTGCTTAACAGAGAAATTCTTCCAAAACTTCTAAAAGTCGTATATGAAAAGACAGAAGAATTTCTGTTAGATTTCTAAACCATTCTATAGAAGGGCTATCAGAGTCAAAGGCATTTTTTTTAAATCAAATATCAAAAATATATATTTTTTAACTCCATGCTTACGACACTGATAATCATTCTAATGTTTTTTTTTTTTTGAAGCGATTTTTTTTTTAAATACGTTTCTTGAAGAACTGTTTAAATTTCTGAATTTTGAACCTACTCTTCAAGATTCCATGAAATTTACAATTTAATATTTAATTAAGATCAATCTATTTTTGAAAGTCAATCAAAAGAAGTCTTTCAATGTAAACAAAATATTTATTTTTAGAGGTCAATTTAGATGCATTTAGTTTATCAGTCTTTTAATAGCTCACGCTTAACACGAGACCCATTGAAATGTTCTGTGCAATATATCTAGAATATTAACGGGTCATTGACGTGTAAACAAATTCTTCAACTGATGCTTCCTACCACTCCCCTCCCTTTCAACACATTTAGAAAACACATGTATACCAGCTACATGTGTGGTGCATGTCTTTTACTCCAAATCGGTTTTCAATACTTGTTGCATTGGGGAATGTGCTTAACCTTGTTGAACCCAATTCTGCCTCATGCCTCACCTTTGACACGAGTCAAATAAGAAACCCCAATAACAACAAAAACAGGAATAGTAAAAAAATACTATAAAAAACATTTATCCCAATATTGTGGTGTATTTCACTCCACTTTATCACACGCTTCATAGGTTAAATGTAAACTAAACGATGAAAATATAATCAAACTAATTACTGTTTATTTAATTTAAGGGAATCAACATATCCAATTTCTATTGCCCGAAGTATAAAAGCAGGGGGGTTGTACGGGAAAATAATCATTCCAATTTGAACATTTCTATAGGAAAGAACTTTCCAAACTTCATTGAAATTCCTGAATACATCGAAATGGATAGCACCAAAATTAGCAAGCTGCTAAAAGAAATCTACAATCTACAAAAAGTAAGAGAAGCCGCGAGTGCTGCCTTATTGGAATCGCCGGAATCATTGGATAATAGCCTTAATGAAAGCCTAGAATCGGATTGTGGATCAATGGAATCCTATGAAAATATTGCAAATGAAAGAATCTCGGCCAAGGTATACCGTAAAAAGGAAGACAATCGTCCCAGTACAACTTCGGTACCGGTTTATTTTGTTCGTTCGGAAAAAGGCACCTACTTTTGGACTAATTGAACTTCGAAGGAATTTCTCGGATCACAAGTGAATGTGAACAACTAAGGCATTTGAACTGATATATTATCAATGGAAGAATTCATATGTATGACAGGCTCTAAAGTATGGTATCCTGTGAGGACTATGAAAATTGCAGTTAAATTAAGGAACTCTATTTTAGTCATCAGTATTATATTGTAAGGAAGAGCATTATACAAATTTGTAAAAATTAATTAAATTACTCCTATTTTGTACCAATATTAAATAAAAAAGCTGTGATTATAAAAAATAATCAAAACTAATAAAAATATATAATTTTGTAAATAAAGCTAAAGTATTTTATTGACCTTTCATAGGTCTTCTGTGGACCGAAGACCTTCCAAAGGTCTTTTATAAACTCATCTTTGTTATATGTTTTTTTTTGTAGACAGGTCTTCAGAAGACAGAATACCTCTCACACTTCTTATAAAAGCAGAAGACTTTGTACAGGGGTCCTAAAAACCAAATATCTCTTATAGACAGTATACTTTATATAGGACTTATATAGACAGTAGACGTTACAGAGGTCTTATATAGACCGAAGACCTTTCATAGGTCTTCTATAGATAGAAGACATTCCACAAGTCTTCTATACACAGAGGACCTACCATAGGTTTTCTATAGACAGAAGATCTTCCATAAGTATTCTATAGGCAGTGGACCTTCCACAGGTCTTTTATAGACAGTAGACCTTCCAGAGGTGTTATATAGACACAAGTCCTTCAACAGTTCTTCTATAGTCAGAATACCTTCCACATGTATCCTATAGACAAACGATCTTTTACGGGCCTTCTAAACACAAAAGATCTTCCACAGGTATTCTATAGACAGAAGACATTCCAGACTTCGTATATAGACATTAGAGCTTCCACAGGCCTTATATAGACCGAAGTCCTTCCACAGGTATAGTACTATAGACAGAAGACCTTCCACAGGACTTCTTTATACCGAAGATCTTCCGTAAGGGTCCAGACAGAATGCCTCTCACATTACATATATAGGCAAAAGGGGGTTTAGATACAGAATATCTTTTACATGTATTCAATAGATGGAAGGCTTGTTACAGACCTTCCATAAAAAAGAAAATCTTCTATAGGCCTTCTATAGACAAACGAGTTTCTACATGTCTCCTACAGAAAGAAGGCTTTCATGGGTTTCTATAGAAATAATACCTTCCACAGAAGATCATTCGAATATCTTCATAATAGAGAATCTCCTCCATAGATTTCTAAAGGCATAAGACATTCCATAAGTATTCTGAAGGTAGTATATATTCCATAGTCATTATTTTTATATATTCAAAATATCTTCTACAGAAAAAAAAATCTTCCACACGACTAAAGTGATAGAAGACTTTCCACACGTTGCTTATACATACTCAGAATAACTTCTACAAGTTTTATATGAAAAGAAGACTTTTCACATTCTTATTCCAAAGCATTCCAAAGAAGTTCTATAGATGCATGAACTTCCACCATAAAACTGGCAATGACATCACATTCCTAAACAATTGTTTTGTTACAATCATTTAAAGCCTTTAAAAACTTCTGCTGAACTCGTGCTTAACTCGAGTCCAAATAAAAATGTTTTCAATTCATCAATTTCTTTCCAGCCTGATATTATTGGGAGTGCCACAAACACAGCACGCTTAAATTAGAACACAATTATCACAAATTCATGACTGACACACTACATTTCTTTCCGTGGGAAACACATCCTGAAATGAAACCCAATTAGTCGTAAAGAAATTCATTTAAACCAAAATGAAAAGAAAAAAATAATTTCTCACGAGCATACACACTTTTTCCAACAACAAAATATTTAGATTTCATAGAACAGATGCATTTTGTTATTCTGCGTTTTGAAATTATTTCATATATTCTTCAAGCATTCCCACGCCTAGAAGGAACACACTAAAAGACAGACACAATACGTTCACTCACATCACCATTAGCTATTGTCTAAGAGAGCTGGTATTTTTACAAAGACCTGCTCGTGGCAGAGAGTATAAAAACCAGAGACTCTCAAGGATTCAGCATCATACTCTTTTGAGCATTCAAACACTACACATCCTTCCAACACAACAATATTCAAAATGTGCGTAGAAATCACACAAACTCAACAATACAACAACAACAACAAAATGGATATCTCCAACAAGAAATCGTACAGCGTGAAGAAGCTGTTTAAACACATATTCAAACAACAAAAATCCACAAAATGTACTGCTGAATCTATGGAATCATTGGAGAATGACCGCAATGCCTGTCTAGAATCGGAATCCTTTGAAAATGACATCAACGAAAAACTCTCAGCCATGCAAGCCTTTGATGATGATTGCGACTACCCCACTGCCATCACCTCTGTGCCAGTTCACTTCATTCGCACCGATCAGGGTACCTTCTTCTGGACTACCACCAGTGCTTTGGAACAATTATCCTGCCAGCAAGATCGTTGGGGCCAAGCCTAAGAAACAAATTGGCTTAGAACGATAACTCATCAAACCATGTCTTCCATTAGAAATCAATCTAAAAGCTTTAACTGCAAACTGTGATATTTTATATTTAGAATTATGAAAATATACTATTTTAAACAACAAAAAATATACAATATTTATAAAAATCAAAACAAAATTAAAAAAATGTGTTTTTATTTACTGGGAAAGAATTTAATGACTCTTGAGTTTCTATGAACGATTATGAGTTCATTATCTGGATCTGAAACAAAATTTGTGGGCATCCCATTATCCTCGTAGTGTTTAATGACAATTGATTTGATTACAAATTTTGTTCTGATTTCAGTTTTTCCAGAATTTTCTAAAGAACATTTTTCAGCACACCTACAAAATAGTATAACCATATTACTCTTACAAACCTTTACATCACACTAGCAATGACAAGAACCAAACACAGGATCACATTGGAATCCGATTTGCCACCTATTTAGAACTGAGAAAAATGGCAACACTAAAAACAAGAAAATGAAGTCACCACTGCAGACTATATATTATAATTTTAACGAGACGATAGAAGGAGGCAACAAGGGCTACATAGGATATCTCGAACTTATATATATATATATATATATATTAGCAGCAACTACATCAGCCACATTGTTTGGAGCGATCGAAACTGATGACCATGGGGCAACACTCGTATTAGCAAAGATCCTCCCCATAACCAACAACGAAACATTTTTTTCAGGCTACGATAGATGGCACTAATTGACCATTTGTTCTGCTGTTGCAAACATTTCATATTTTGAATTTTCGGACTATGATTCTGAGACATATTCCGAAAATTCAAAAATATGTTTTATGATGGATTTTTTTACGATTTTTTCAAAGGCTGTCAGAAGCAAAATATAGGATTTTTTTTTAAAATATTTTCTTTAGCATTAAGTTGTAGAGGACTAACACAGTCGGAATAGTATTTTCCTAAGCATTCGAATAGATCCTAACACTTACATTTTAAAATAATATTTTAGCCAAGTACTAACCGAGTCATAAGTCAAGATTTTTTAAAGATTATTTTTTATATTCTATTGGGGGCCAACAACTATGAATTTTTAAATTATTTTTGAAAGGCTATCATGCGATAAGCATGATCATTTAAATAAAAATTTTGCAAAGCTATCAATCACTGTTATAAGGATGTGCTTTTGAAACATATTTTAATCAAGGACTATCATGGAATAAGTGTGAATTTTCTTAAAATATATTTTCAGGACTTACCGACATATTTTTGAAAGTATATCAATGCCTTAATATTGGATTTTAAGGAATATTTTTTAAAAAAATTCTCAGTGTCATACGTGTGTATTTTTTAATGAATATTTTTAATGGCTATGAGAGTCATAAATGTGGGTATTTAAGATTATTTAAAAAAAGAGCCACAATCATAGTATTTTAAAAACTTTTTCCTGAAAGACTATTTGAGCCATTATTGAGAACTTTGTATGTATATTTTTTAAGGGCTATTAGTAATATGAATGAGGATTTGTTAAGAATAGTATTCGAGGACTGTCAGGATTTCAAAGAAGTCCTTCGAAGAATATTTTTCAAGGAATGTTAGTGATCTAACCATAGTATTTTTATGATTTAGGTTTAGTGAAAAGACAGACTATATTTAAATATAAATTTCCATTATTTTCTGAAGATCTGTAATGGATATTTCAAGCAGATGGGTTATCATTTTTTAATCCTGTAAGTTGCTTGCTTTTGAACATCCCTTTCCTTAGCTGTAATTGTAATGCATTTATACCCTTTTAAACCTCAGACAGAATGAATTAAAAATACTATAAAATTTTTGTTTTTTTATATTTTCTTTTTTATAAAAAGTTTTAATTTGTTTCTTAATTTCTATTTAAAATATCACAATTTTTAGTTAAAGCTTTTTTAAAGTGTGTTGTAGTTGTAAAATATTTACAATATTCTACAATTTGTTTCCCAATGGAAGACATGGATTGATGAGTTCTCGTTCTACGTCAATTTGGTTGTTTAGGCTTGGGCCCAACGATCTTGCTGGCAGGACAACTGTTCAAAGGCACTGTTGGTAGTCCAGAAGAAGGTACCCTGATCGGTGCGAATGAAGTGAACTGGTACTGAGGTGATGGCAGTGGGGTAGTCACAATCATCATCAAAGGCTTGCATGGCTGAGAGTTTTTCATTGATGTCATTTTCAAAAGATTCCGATTCTAGACTGGCATTGCGGTCATTCTCCAATGTTTCCATTGATTCTGCAGTAACTTTTTGGGATTTTTGTTGTTTGAAGATTTGTTTCAACAGCTTCTTCACACTGTACGATTTCTTGTTGGAGACATCCATTTTGTTGTTGTTGAATTTTTGAGTTTGTGTGATTTCTACGCACATTTTGAATGTTTGTTGTGTTGGAAGGATGTGTAATGTTTGAATGCTCAAAAGAGTATGATGTTGAATCCTTGAGAGTCATCGGTTTTTATACTCACGAACATGCGAATCGCAG